TCCCCTGCCACTAGGGAAAGTCACAATTAATCCGTGGGGAGCAGCGTGCTCGGCTCCCTGGACGGGCTAACCCACGGGGTGGGACCAAGCGGGGTGTGCTGATGGGGGGCAGCTCTGCCTGCCTGGGGAAAGGGACCTCAGCGGGGGAAGGCTGAGCATTTCCTGACGGCCCTTCTGCTGCAGACAAGCTCTGGTACTGCCGCCTGTCACCCAACCACAAGGTGCTGCACTATGGGGACGTGGAGGAGGGGGTGCAGTCTCCCCCCATCGAGAGCCTGCCAGAGAAAAGTAGGTGATGGGGAGAATGAGAGGGGGGGGAAGGAGGGGGAAACCCTCTGCCCACCCCAGTCCTGACGTGCTGGGGATGCCTCAAGGCAGGAATTGCCCCTCTGCCTGGCCCAGTGCCCACTGGTACCACAGGACTGGGAGCTGTGGGAGCTCAGGCTGGGGTGGGCTGGCTCTCGGAAGGGCACTGCAGATGGCTGTGAGCCCTCGGGCTCTGAGCGCCGGGGACCAGGGGGAGAGGAGAGCGGGGCACTGACAGCTCCTCTGCTTGCCCCAGTTCCTGTGGCAGACATGAAGATGCTGCTCATGGGGAAGGAGTGTCCGCACACGAAGGAGAAGAGCTCTGGGAAGCAGAACAAGGTCAGCACCTCCCGCCCCATGTTATGCAGCTAGTGATGGGTTTTGGTGGTGGGCGGTTTCATGGACCATGGTGGGTTTTTGATGTGACTTGACTCCTGGGGTGCAGAGGAGCAGCCTGGGAGGCAACTCCTGCTCTGAACCCTGCTGGGCTGGAAAGAGCCCAGCTGAGAAGCCGGCTGCACGCTGTGCTGTCCCCACAGGACGTCCTGGAGCTGGCCTTCTCCATCGTGTACGACATGGAGGAATACTGCCTCAACTTCGTTGCCCCGACCCGGTACGAGGTGAGCTCCAAGGGCTGGGGAGTCACGCTGCGGCCAGATGGCAGGGAAGGGAGTCGTGTGCGTGTGTCCGTGTCCCAGCCCACCCTGCCGCCTTTCCCCAGGGTGGGAGCCACAGCGGGGGGCAGGAGGCGGCTCTCTGGCTGCCCAGGGCCGGTGCCAGGGTCGCCTGTGCTCTGTTTCCCCAGTTCTGCCTCTGGACGGACGGGCTGAACGTGCTCCTGGGCAAGGAGATGACGAGCGAGCGAACGCAGACAGACCTTGACGTCCTGCTGTCCATGGAGCTCAAGCTGCGGCTCCTGGACCTGGAGAACATCAGCATCCCTGATACCCCCCCTCCTGTCCCAAAGCCCCCCAGCAACTTAAACTTCTGCTACGACTTCAGCCATGCAGAGCAGTGAGTGCCCCGTCTCCCCTCTACACCTCCCAAAGTCAAGCCCCTTCTTCCAGGCTCTGTCCCTCATCTCCGGCCAAAAACGATGAGCCCAGGTGCTGGCCGGGGGCTTGGGCGTGCGCTGCCTGCACCTTGCCTGTCCTGGGGCAAACTGCCTGCCCTTCCCTGCCTGTGTCCTGCCCTCCACTGAGCATCAGGCTGCTGTTTGAGGGGGGGACACACGCTGCTGCTTTGCCCCCCTGCCCACGGGCAAGCGAGATGAAATACCTTCCAGACAGCTGAACCCCTCTGTGGTGGCGCTGCCCCCCACACCACAGCCAAGCTTTGGGCAGAGAGGGCAAGGATGCAGGCAGGAATCAAGGTACAGGCAGCGCTGGGACAAACTGGGGGGGGGGAGGGGGCGGCAGCCCTACAAAGGTACGAATCCACACTGCCTGGGTCTCCCAGTCAGTGTAGGGGATCCTTTCTGGCCAAGAAAGGGGTTAGAAAAAGGGTAAAACAGCCTTTCCGCTCAGCTGGGCGAGCAGACAGCATCTCCAGAGCACGGTGTGCCTGCCCAGCCAGGCCTGTGCTGCACTGAAACGTTTTTCTGCTGAGCCCTGTGCGCTCCCACTCCTGGAAAGGGGGTGTTTAGGGTACAAGCCCCCTCTCCCAGCATCACTTCAGCTGGGCAGGGGCTCGTTGCCGCCGGAGACCCCGGTCTGCTCTTGCTGCCCGGCACTGCGGCGCTCGTGCCAATCCTGGTGCCTTTCCCCGCCCCGGGCGGGTACTTGCACACTTCAGCCATGCTGCTGCACTACTGCACCACGACAAGCTACCTCCTCCCTGGCCCCCATGCCTCCCACCCCGGTGCCCCACGCCTCCCACCCCGGGGCCCCCGGCCTCCTCGCGCCTCCAGCTTCCCCATCACGAGT